ATAATTTGCTTTTCGGATTTCGATATAACAGTTCTTTCTTCACGTCCGACGGTATCGAGGTAATCAGCCCTCGTCGGATGTGTTTAGACGTATGCTCAGTAGACGGGAAAGTGTTCTGATTATGTTCACCATGCTAGAGGCGTTTGTGGATGGAGTTGACATGGCAGCATATGGTTTTAATTGACCTCCCATTAATATTCCTTATCCATTTTCCTTTTGTCAATTTAGCCTATGCTGATGCTGCTAGAGACACGATTGATTTCGCAATCGCACCACATTTGGCCGTGGAAAAATTGTTGCGTTTGAGTGGGATCTCCAAAGACAAAGTGGCGATGTGGGAAATTAACGAGGCATTTGCCGTGGTCGCTTTGGCCAATATCCGATTGTTGGAGTTGCCCATAGAGAAGGTCAACATCCATGGTGGTGCTGTCAGTTGTGGACATCCCCTTGGGTAGGTCAGATTAATTGATGCTATTCGATACGTGTGCGTGTGGCTTGTCAAGACACGAAAAACATCCCACGAATGCTTGATGTGCAGCTGTATGTTGTCAGCTTTTAAGTGTTCTCGTGAAAACGGTTATCAGTGGAAAGTTCTCCTGTTATCTTCCTGGTTGAAATTGTATGATAGATAATGTTCTAAATGGTCAAATACCCGCTACTTAAATGAACTAATCAATATAGTCGGTTGTAGTTGGTTACTAATAGGTGGACGAGCATGAATGAGTTGGTTTCTGATGGAAATGGAATGAACAGCGTTCAATGGCACAAACTTGCAGTGCAATGTAATAAAAATTAAAAAAATAAATGTCTTTTTACTTCCTATTTATTTATTGAATATACAAATGTACGGTCAATTTTGAGGGAGGGGGCTGCGGCCATGCAACGACTGCCTGGGGAAATACAGAAATAGGGAAGACGGGTGGCGGTGAAGCGGTTTGAACCTGGAACATCCGGTTCACGAGTTGGTGACCTAACCACTTGGCCACCACCGCCCAACTACTGAAGTCAATCTCAGAGACATTGTCTCGGTCTGACGTGCGTGACTCACGGTGCCAAGCGTCCGGGTACAAGTCGCTGGAACCTTGATGGATCCGCACTGTGGATCCGTCTTTGTACGACTGGAACATCTGCTGCCAACAATTCCCGGTGGTATGCACAACCGTCGACATTGCATGAATTTCAACCTTTTTAAGGAAGAATGCAATTTTTGATGTGATCGAGAGAGGAAACAATGACGGTGCAAGTAAGGGTGTTTTTGAATAGTTCGGGTGACTGTTGGAGAAGCAACCGCTTTCTGTTCGGGTTACAGGGTCTCGCTACTGACGAAACCCGTCTGAGAGAATGAGTATCACGTTGGTGCAGAAGCAACCGAAATGATTTCCCGAATCCCGTACTGGTTGACGTATTGTCGCTTCGGAGTGCAGTTTAGCATACAGAGATGGTCTATATACTGACGTTTCCTAGTTCCCGGTTGGTTGCTTAAGTTTGAGAGAGTACCGGTCGAAGGCGTCACAAAAAACGTACTTTAGTTTTCCATTTACCTAATAAAAACCGGAACTACGGAAGATGCGAAGACATGTTGGCCCATTGATAAGATATATCCCAATTGATAGTAAGTGGACAAAATGTAGCCCTACCAATCGATCGACACACGCACGATCAGTTGTAGAACTGATTAAATGCGCAAGTAATCTTCCCTCTTACCGGATGCTACAGCATGGCAAATGTTCTCACAAAACTTACTTTGAAATCTCTGGGTGTTTCCTCCCTTGCCATTCATCTGTTACCTCTCCTCGCAAGTATGAACTTCAGATGCTCCAACTGCCGGTACGCCACTTGGCGCTCGTCCTCCTCGAGTCAGAGACGGACGCAGATCGACCACATCGCGATAAGCCACAAATGGCGGGGCAGCATTCAAGACTGCCGATCGTACTGGAGCACTCCCCTTGAATCCGACCACGCGCTAAGCTGTTCATGTGCTTCGGTGGGCGTCCCAAACGCAGGACACAACGACGGTTAGACTGTGATAAGCTGTCCAAACCAGCTTGTCTAACTGTCTCCCAAAACGCACTAGCTGCAAAGCTAGTACCAACCCTACCCGATGACTTTAACCAGCACTGGTCGCTTATCGAGAATGCTCTGCACTCTGCTAGCTTAGTTGTGGTCTGACACGTCACGCCGTGACACCCTGGATCTCTGCAGAGTCTCTACGCCTTCTTGACGCACGTCGGCCTATTCCGACCGTCAGCGAGCATAATGAAACACGACTCGTAACGAGACGTGAACTTAATGTAAGTCTACGCAGAGACCGCGAGATCTGGTGGACTCAACGCGCGTTAGAGATGAAACATGCCGCCGCCATGGGTGATTCCCGTAAGCTGTTCCATCCCATCCGAATCACCGGTAGGAAAGCCTTGAGTGTGAGAGAAACGATCTGCGAAGCTGACAGTTCGCCTATTCACAATCAACAGCGACATCTTGCACCCTGGGCGGAGCACTTCAAACACGGTTTAGCTGGCCTCCAGCATCAGATTCTCACAGCTATTTTGACACACGTCCCATGATCTGTCTCAACAGACCCACCTTCTGAGGCGGAAATCCCTAAGGAGATCCAAGCCTTTGGACGTCAGAAAGCGCCGGGCTACAATGGCCTTTCTCCAGCCCTATTTAAAGATGGTGGAATTAAGCTTGTTAGAAAACTACAAGTTCTGTTCTCTAAAGTTTGGAACACTGAGCAAGTCCGCTTCTCGTGGGGGGTGGGGGGGGGATCGATTGTTGTGCCCATCTTCAAAAAGGGCCTGCGCAATGACTGCGCCAATCGTAGGGGCATAAGCCTTATCCTGATGGCGTCAAAGCTGTTGGCGTCTGTCATTCTCCGCCAATTGTACACTACGCGTGAGGAGCAGGATGGGTTTTGTGCCGGTCGTGGATGCATCGATCAAATCATCACCCTCCTACAGTTGCTACAGCACCGTCATGCCTACCAAAGACCAACTATCATTGTATTCCTAGACATCCGTGTGGCCTTCGACTCTATCAATAAGACCGCACTATGGAGCTGTTTGTTGAGGAATGGAGTATCTGAGAAGTATGTGTCAATCCTCAAAGAGTTGTCTCGTCATGCCTCAAGTCGGGTTAGGGCCTATGGCCAACTTTCGCCACGCTTCACCGTCTCCAACGGAGTTCGGCAGGGCTGCCCTATATCCCCGTTTCTTTCCAACTTCGCCATAGAGCATGTTCTAAAGAATGCTTTGTCCGATCTAGCAAACGGTGGGGTCGAATTTCTCCCAGGGTGCAGAGTTCTTGACTTGGAATATGTCGATGACATCGCCTTGCTTGGTGACAACACACAGGCAGTCCAAAACGCTTAGAACCGCTTGGTGATGGAGGTATCCAGGTATGGTATGTGCTTTGCATCATCAAAGTGCCAAGTGCTTGTGCAAGACTGGCAAGCGCATGTGCCTGCACTTACCGTGATCAGCTGGAAGAAGTTGAGAGCTTTACGTGCCTCGGGAGCTTGATCGCAGCTTTGTGAAAGCCAGAGCAGCTTTCGCCAACCTGCGACACTTGTAGCGCCGCCATGACATCCGACTGTCCCTTAAGGGAAGGTTGTACATCGCCGCGGTTCGTAACGTTCTCCTTTACGCTTGCGAGACCTGGCCCCTCCGCGTTGAGGATGCTAATCGACTTTCTGTATTTGACCACGGATGTCTCCGAAGCATTGCTCGTGTCTGGTGGGAAACCCCGGTGAGTAATGACAAGGTTCGTCGTCGTGTGTTGGGTGCGGATAGTCGTTCCCTAACAGAAGTAATCGCTTTACACT